AAAAAACATTTAAATTTATTAATTAGATAGTATATTGAAAATATATATATTTTTTTTTTTTTTTTTTTTTTTATACCTGACAGGCAAATGACTCCACTCCACCTGATGTTAAGTGGAAAGTGGTATCCAAACGCGAAGGAACCTAGTGCAGCGATGGAATCCTCACTGCACTAGCCGCCTCCACCCTGCCTGCCTACAATATGCCTCTTCACGCCTCGTTTGAAGGACCCCATATCATATCATATGACACTATGCAATAGAAAATAATATAAACTTAAAATGTAAATGTCATCAAATAATATGTTTTAACGTTTGGCTGGATATAGAATTCGCTGCACGGTTTTGTAATCTTCTCGGACGGATATTAGTTAGATGAGAGCATTCCGAGTTGGCGTCTTATCATCGACAGCAGTTTTAAAACTGATGAACGAATGCTGCCAGCGATTGGTTTCAATTGCCTCTAGCTCCCTGAAATTTGATATTCTGACTTCTATATAATATTCTCCTCTTCTAACAGGTGAGTGTAACCCGCGCCTGTTCGACGTGAAATATATATAACTTTTTAATGTTGCTGCTCGCACAGGTTCGCGTTCTTCATCCTGTGAACAAAAAAAATGCATTTTGTCAGTGCAAAGTTTACTGACAATAATTATCATTCTCAAGACGAGCGTTCCGATGATGGTTTAAATACGCAAGTAAAACTGTGTAATAACAGACAAAATGGAATTCTAATAGTATAGGTTAATGCTAATTTTTAAATTCAATAATTCGAATTAAAAATTTAACTAATTTTTTAATTCAAAATAGCTCACCTAAGAATCTAAAAATAGACGGGCCTTTCGTTTTCTAGGAGTAAGTACAAGTAAAGCTGTCGATGCACGATCAGTCTCCGATTCAGAGTCGCTCTCAACAATGCGTTTTTTCGACTTCGAAGATAACTTGGGCTTCGAAGCTTTAGCAGGCTTGCTCCGTTTTTTCTTCTGCGTCTGAACTTGGGAAGTAGTGGGCTGGACTTCAGCATCCGATTCAAAGGGATTAAAAACCTGAAACAGAAATTAATTAGTTTTATAATAGTGAACTAACATTTATACTAAAATAATCAAGAAATTATTAACTTGCTGGCGTACAAAGCAAAACAACGTAAATTATAAAATTATCTTGACTGCTATGTTGCCATACGCGCAAAGAGCCGAAATGAATAAGTTACGCACGTACTTAACTCCTTGATGATATTCACGACCACCAGCAAAAGCACACTTCACGATGTAAAATAATTTAAAATGCTCGGCTCAGGCTGTTATATGCCCTCGAATTGCAAGGGCTCTTATTACACTGCAAATACATATATATATTTTAAATATAATTTAACAACAGCGTTGTTTTAATAATGAATATTGACTCGTATTAGAGTCAATCATACGACCTATTATTGCTAGTTAGATATTAAAATTAAACACTTAATTGTGAATGCAGGCTTTACATAGATGTTCGAGACAAGTCTACACCGGCGACGCTCTACCGCTGCTACTGGACACCTAATTTGGTAGGTGTATGTATTTGTAAATATTTTTTAAATATTTAACACAATCGTTTTGAAGTTAGTTTTCTAAGTTTATCAGTATTTATTACATGAGGATGAAACAATTATGAATTGATCTTCAAATTAGTTACGCGATCAACGATTTTCATCACCTGAAGAGGCTGTTGAAGAGTATGAAAAATATGTTTCAAAGATTGTCACGGAGGAGTGGCATTAATGTTTTCAAAATTGGTTCATTCCTATGAAAAAGTGCATTAACGCTAACGGAGAATATTTTGAGTCAGTAGAATTAGTCAGCGTACGCGCTTCGTTCAGAAAACAAACATACCTTTTATATTTGTAAACTGATTTAATGTTAACTAAATGTTAATGCAAATTTTTTCGTAATATATCATTGAAAATCAGATTCAAATAGGTTTAGCCGTTGTTGAAGAAACAAACATTCTAAAAACTGATATAGGATCAACTTGTCACACGTCCGAGAGACATACGGCGTCTCTAACGCGCAGCTGCTGTATTTTTATCTACAATTTTCTAGAAAATATAAATATCTATTTTAATTATAGTTTAATATTTAATTAATTTAATAATTTAATTTTAATTATAATTTAATTTTTTTTTAACTAACTCGTTATGCACGCCGTGCCCTTAGAGTGCGTGACGGGTTAACAGTGCTTCAATATGTAGGTACTAACTTGTTTAGGCACTAACTTTACTCTAAAATATAAAAGTACAAACTCAGCTTCTTTACCATTTTATCTATAGAGATGTTTATTCTTGGTGTATAAGTACTCCATATATTCCATAAACCTTTGTTTAGAAAACACGTAAAGACAATTTTCTTTAACCAAACTTAAGTATTATGTGTCCAGTCTAGACAGAAATTTTGTACCTTTATCCAAGATAATTTAACAGTTATTTATTATTTGAGTTTTAATGGCAATTGAAAAAGTTAAACGATTGGTTTTTCTCAATTTTTACAAAAAAACGAACCACTAGCGCATTTAGTAGCCGTCGCATTCTATTAAGATAGAACTGCCTCGGTGGCTGAACGGATTCCATGCTAGTCTGCCACGAAGAGGTCCAGGGTTCGATTTCCAGGCCAGGTGTGACCTACATTTATGTCTCCCGTGAGTTTGGGTGCAATTTGTGGTTGCCAATGTGTGTGTCGATGCCACCCGCGATACAAGGCTTTCCTAGTGTGAGGATAGCCCCGCATTAGGGAAGCCTTGTACACTCATACACGGTAAAAACAGATTACTTAGAAAAAGACAAAATTCTTTATATGAAGACAAATTTATTAAATCCATTGACTGACTTAAATCCAACAAAACGATCCTCTCCCTATAGACGCTAGAGAATAATTACTTGATAATAGTAAAAAAACGTCTCAAAAGTATATTTTAGTTATAAGACAGAAATATTTAATCCAAGAGTAAATTAATTTACTTCAAGTCACAAAGCCGCTCTAGATTCAACAAAATATTTATTTGTTATTAGAAATGTCCGATTTTGATTTGAAAAAAAATAATGAAAAATTGAGAGGTACTTAATTGTTTCACTGAAGATTTATGTTTTCTAATATCAAAAAGGGTAAATTGACAGGGTTATGGACCCAACAGTATGTCTCACTAGCGTGAAAGCACAAACCAGTGCCAAACCTTAATGTAGCAGAAATAGGACGGATCTTCTTAAATACTTGAGTACCATTCAGTGCCGTATAAACGCTACAACGGCAGAAAACACTGGCAATTTAAATATATGAGATGACTTTATACTATTGAAATTAACAAAACGATAGCGCGTTTTAGAGTACAACTAATGCCATCTAGCAGTGGCGTGATGGAACTAATTGCATGTTAAAGTTGTGCTTGTTACAAGTGTAGTTTGATTTCATGCTGAAACCAAATTCCTTAAATTATGACTATAAATAACACCCTAACAAACTAGAGATACTACGTATTGTTTCTTTGGATAAATGACTGTTTATTATTTTTATGATTACAAGCACAAGTAAAAGTAATCGTTACCGCGTGCACCTTCGGCGACATGTCACAACAACATTGACTATGAAAACGCAACGATATGTTGCTTTTACTCTAGAATTTAGAATATTAATCTGAATAGCAAACTAATTTGTTTAAGAATATATTTTCTTAAAATACATCCAAGAAATTTTGAATTCATTTAGGATTATTTAAATTTGATGTAAGAGGCAAAAATTTCTTGATGTAAGTAATGTCCAATTAATTGATTAGAAATGAAATAAAATCTTGAAGTGAACGTATTTGTCTAAAAGTTAGAATAAAGTTAAGAGTAAAATTGTATTAGAAAAAGATAAGCAGTATTTTTGTAATAACAATATTTTATTACTTTTAATAAATATTTTTTTCAGAATTAGCAAATATTTTGAGAAATTGCTCTTTCTTATTAGTAGAAATCCTTTTTTTCTGTGTAGGAGTGTGTGCGTTATTACAAGCAGTTTATGGTTTTATGGTTAATTTTTACCAAAAGACTTGCTACCCTGAAAACCTGAAAGATCTGTTTTAGAACAGTTGAGCTCCTTGTGAAAGAGTTCGTCTATAGAAATACTGCCAACTTACCTATTTCTGCCGCCAATCAGTAATGTGAACATTACTGCATTTCGTATTTGAAAGTAAGGGTGCTGGTGAAATTGGAGCATGAAACTTTTCATGTAATGTCTCAGGCTGACGGGTGCAGTGGCTGTGCCCATCAGATACTGCTACTGTTATGAACAGAGGTGTCGCTTACCACCAGGCGCACGACGTGTTCGTCCCGTCCCTTAGTATTATAAAAAAAGTAACAACACAGTACACAAAAACATCAACAAAGACGCCAAGAGCGTGTCGCGTATCGAATACGTCAATGGTAGGGTTTCTTTGTCGTTACATACTTTAACAATCTGTTTGAACTTTATTATATAAATATATTAAAAGTTATATCAAGTTGTAAATATTTTGTTAGATCTATATAAAAGCCATTATGTCACATTATCTTTGCAATAGAACCACTTTAGTTTTTTAACCGACATAAAAAAGGAAGTTTTTCAATTCGCCAGCAATTTTGTGTGTGTATGTTACACGATTACTCTGACATTTATGAACCGATTACCATTATTATTTTTTGTTGGAAAGGAGGTACCTCAGTAGTGGTTCTATTCAAATTAAAAAAAATATTCCACCTCTGAGGGTTGCAAATTAGGGGAAAATTCCGGTTTATTATTCACCTGCTTTCCGGTAATCGATTTCAATAAAACTGGGCAAAAAGATGTAATTCCACAAACTTTTGAAGTTATTTTTTTATAAAAAAGTTATAATTATTTTATTTTTTACACAGGTAGTTCAAAAGTTGTGTTGGAAAATTCTATATCGTCATGAGTCATGGTCATACAGGGCATCGACCTTGGATAGGTAAAACGTCTAACGTGCATTTGGAAAATAATACAGGAGAGGGATTTAAAGTATAAAGAATCTTTTTAAGAAAAAAAATCGCAATTCCAATTTTATGTGTTATTTTATTTGTGGAAAACTGCAATGGGATGGAAAGTTTCAGCTTAACTTGCTCTGCACTGTGTATGGGGCCATTAAAAAAATTGAAATTAAAATTAAAATTGTTTATTTTAACTTAAGCCTAGTTTACAATTCAAAGTTCGAAACTCCTTTTAAGTAAATATATACGTGTGCTAGGAGTCTTAAAGAAAACTATTAGGAGAATTAAAGAAAACTATTTTACTTGTTATCATTACTGAAACTTAATTAACATACATACACATAATGCCACTTTTTTATTCGAGCGCATTTAAAAATGAAACTCGCATATCTTACTTTAACGTTATCGTATTAAGGCCAGATGTAAACATAAATCGTAACAATTTATTCCCTAACGTATCATTATTGCTTAAAGGCACAGATTTCATAAAGACATCGGTCATAAACTAAATATTTTCTATCAAAATGTTTGTAGTCTTCGAACTAAAACATTACAATTTTACAATAACTTGCTTAACGTAGACCATGACATTATTCTATTAACAGAGACTTGGCTAAACGAAAGTGTATTAGATTTCGAACTATCAGATCACAGATATGAGGTATTCCGCCGCGATTGCAGATCGAACGGAGATGGGGTTATGATCATATGCAACCTAAGACTGAACGTGCACGCTCGTATCGAATGGCAACGCGATCACATAGAATGCTGAACAATAGGCTTAAAACAAGATCTGCATATAGCATTGGCTTACATTTATTATAAATAACTGCGTACACTTGATTAGCGACGTCGCTAGTAAGTTCACTGATGATTTGTTTATATGTGCAGGCTATTTCAATTTATTTAATATAGCGTGGAATCCATGGGGGTCGACACACTTAAAAAAAGGGAGCGTCGATCTTCGAAATTCAGGAACATACTTCATAAATCAAGTAAATTTCTTGAGACTTCATCAAAGTAACACATTCACAAATAACACAAAAACTAGAAACATTCAGCTTTTCCATGTAACAAATAAAATTCGAGTATTTTTCTTAAAAAAATATGTTAAATCCCTTTCCTGTAATATTTTCCAAATGCAGGTTAGACGTTTTAACTTTCCATCATAGCTATGTACTTCTAGACGATCGATCTACTGCAGAAAGCTTCATACAATGAAATCGGTGTAAATTTTCAGTCTTAAATATTTCTCTACTTTTATTTTCTTTTCTTTTTGAACATCAATACGCCAAGTTTTGCAATTAAAAGGACTTTAACATGTAAACTGACG